TTCGTCACGAATTCTGAACGAATATCCCCTAGTGCAAAATCTCGGATATGAAGTCGCGGTGCTGCGTAAACCATGAGAAAACTCCACTAACCATGTCGGGAGGGTTTGACCATGAGAAAACTCCACTAATCAAAAAACCTTCGAGCTTCTAAATTAGGTTCTTGAACCCTATCACCCTCATAACCACCCGACTGCAAATTCTCTCTAAACGCGTCGTTAACCATCGCAACCGTACTTACCCCAACATCTACTTCCGTTGTACGTTCTTCTACGCTATCCGGAAAATAAGGTGCATTACTACTAGTACTACCATATTCGTAATTGCTTTCTCCATGTAAAAACCAAACCTTATATCCCGGCCTAAATCCATATCTATATAAGTGATTCCAAACAGTATGAACCGCAACACTAATTCTGTTACAGCAATTAGAACATGGACATTTGATATCCTGACCTTTTTTTGCTGCATCTTGGTTTCTGGGTAAATTCATGAACTCGCATATACCTGCAGCGTAAGCGGATGTTAATAAGTTCGAGCCCWTATCCATCATTGGCTCGTCCATCCAAGACCGAAAATATGAACTCATCGCTAACAAATTTTTTTGATTTGTAAAATTGTGTTATGAATGAACGAAMAAACGYAHGAACTTATATAAAACGGATTTCCGTCGGAATTRCGTCGGAAATCCGTCACAAAACTCCGATAACACCCCACCAATCCCATCGGCCACCGCTAACGAAAGGTAACCACTCAAATTTGCCGACATCGAAAATATCYGATTTCCGTCGGTAGTCCGTCGGAAAGTCGTCAGAATATTACGACAGATTATTTTCCGTCGGAAATCCGTCGGTACGAACGACGGATTTCCGACGGAATACCGACGGTATATAAAACCGTCGGATTCCGTCGGAATACCGACGGACTAAATGTTGGTCGGAAATCCGTCGGTAAGCCGTCGGAAAATTCCGACGGAAATATTGGCCGTCGGAATAGTGGCTGTTTTCTTGTAGTGTGTGTACATATAAATAAAAAGAGATTTTATAATCTTTCCTAAATCCCTAAATCTCTCAAGCGGCAGCCTAAGGTTATTTGCTTCTT